AAACCCTTGCAGAAAATATGGGGAAGATTGGAAATCAATTTATGATCTTCTTGAAGAGGTATTTCTAAATTTCAACTGTTGTCAACTTAAGTTAAGTTTTGTTTTTATTTTTCGTAGCTAATTTCAATGTTTTTCTTGTCGTGAGTCATACAATTGCAGTGTGAAGAGAGCGTGGGGATAAAGCTTAACTTACTTTGATTCTTAGTACACGCTCTATTTTAGCCAAAGATCACTCGTTTTGTACTTAGATGTCTTTGGTGATCTTTTAGTATGTCCAATGATAACAGATTATCCTAACCAAGAAGAGCATTCCTGTGAAAAATAAAATTCAAGTAACAAATGAAATTGAATCGGTTAACAACATTATAATATTTCTTGGTTATCATCTTAAATCATATGTGATCATTTATACTTTACATTAAATGACATGAGTAATGGAATCTTACCTTTGGAAGTCTTCCACTCTCATTATATTAAATGGCACTCTTGTGGTTTTATTATATCAGTCCAATTACCCTGTGCCCTAAGCAATTTTCTCGACATTGCAAAAGTAGAACCCTAACACTCATATATAAAAAACCCTACCTCAGAACCCGACTACAGCCCTTCACACAATGCTTCTCTCCCTCTCAACTCCGACAATGGCGTAGATAATAATGGAAAGGAATGAGAGTGGAAGACTTCCAGATGTAACATTCCAGTACTCATGCCATTTACTGTAAAGTATAATTGATCAAATATGATTCAAGATGATAATAAAAAAGGATTATACTGCTGTTAATTGATTGAATTTCGTTTGTTACTTGATTTTGTGGCTATATGTAACCATTTATTTGACATGTAGGAGAAGAAAAGTAATATGATTATTTTATTATCTTTTTTCTTACCTGTTTATTTAAGACACTGTGTTTGTGTTACTTTGTTATTGTCTTTGAGAGGAAAGGAGATTTTTTTTTCTTCAGATAATTTAACTTTGTACTTTGTTGTTCGATACGGATAGATGTTTGAATATGTAATAGTGATCATTTGAAAAGAATTGGAAACTTGTTGTAATTATGTCAATGTATATTTTCAAAAAACCATACTCAGGTTGCTGTCTCATCTGCCTTTGCAGATCATGGTCTTTTGTGTCAACTGATTTTATGATTTTTTTTTCTTTTTGGGTTTGTGTTGAGTAGACTTACTTTCTAACCCTGTATATATTATTGGAAATCCTAGGGTACTTGTGACCTTCCGAAATAACAAAAGTCAGCAAGAAAGAAAGCATTTTCCACAGTCCAAGAGATCTTCGAGATGGATGGTGCCACAACCCTTGAAACTCCACTTTTGGAATCGAGAGAAACACTCACGGCAAAATATGGGGAACACTGGGAATGATTTATGATCTTCCTGAAGAGGTATTTCTCACTTTCAACTGTTGACAACTTTAGTGGAGTTTTGTATTTATTTTTCGTAGTTAATTTCAATGTTTTTTTTGCTGTCGTAGCTCTTACAAATGCAGTGTGAAGAGGGGGTGTGGATAAAAGCTTAACTCAGTTTGAGTCTTAGCATACACTCTATGTTAGCTCACTCTTTTCGTACTTGGATGTCCTTGGTAATTTTTAGATTATTCTAACCAAGAACAGCATTCCTTAGAATAATAGATTTCAAGTAACAAACGAAATTTAATCAATTAACAACAATATAATAATTCTTCATTATCATCTTGAATCATATCTGATCAATTATACTTTATATTAAATGGCATGAGCACTGGAATCTTACCTTTGGAAGTCTTCCACTCTCATTACATTAAATGGCTTTCTTGCAGTTTTATTGTATCAGGCCAATTACTCTGTTCCCTAAGCCCAATTTTCTCAACGCAGCAAAAACAGAACCTTAGCGCTCATATAGAAAAACCATACCTCAGAACCTGACTACAACCCCTCACAGAGTCTCTCTCTCAGGTTGTGCTCCGACAATTGCAGAGATAACAATAGAAATAGTGCACTAAACATTAGAGAGTCTGATTGAGTCTATATGTGAGAGTTTTCAACACAATCGTGATTCATTAGAGTCTTGTGATTTGGAGTGCTACTATTACAAGGATGTTGTCGTTGTATTCTGGGAGACAACTGCTGATCAACCATGAGCACCGTAGTGGATGTAAACTTGTCTCAAGGACAGAATGCCTAACATTGGCCTAGACCGTATTTTTAAGTTTTTTCTAATCCATTATGTCATTTTCATTTAACAATGGTTACTTATATATATGCATTACTTTGATATATAATTGCATGTACTATTTTTTTTATTTTTTTATATGATTTAATATAGCAATTACACCCTTTTTGTCCAACACTAAAAGACAAGACAAGGCCCAATTACCCCTAAGCCTAATATGGTGGATGAGAGAAGAGAGAGAAGGAGAAGCAGATTAACTAAATAGAAAACCTAGATGAGTGGTATTATGTAGAATTATGACTTCTTGTATTGATGTGTATAAAATATTACAATATATATGAAGTAATATTAATCCCTCTTAAAATAGGAATCCTACCCTAAATATAATTGAAAATAACAATTCTATACGAAGAGGATTCTGGATCAATTAAGGATAATCTAACAACCTCTCATTCTTTTCGTAGTTTGGTACGTAAAGTCTTGGTAGGAATATGATAATTTGTTGGATAAATTGACTAATGCTTTTCGTAGTTTACCCTTCAATGAGAACCACGTAAGTCAATTAGAATTTTTCATTGATTGTATTCAATAATTTGTTGGATATTAAAAAAAAAAAAAAGAAAAAGGAAAAGTGTGATAGCCCGTTCCGAAAATTTTAAAACGTACACGTGAAAAGACGATTTTGCCCCTAGTGTGATTTCTTTTCGTTGTGTGGCTGTTTTGGGCTTGGTGTGGCTGGTTGTGGACCACACACACACTCTCCCATATTTTCCCTCACCCTTTCCCATATCCCTACACCTGTCTTGCGCCATTTCCCTTCCCATTTTCATAACCTTTGTACGGACACACACACAAACACACCAAATCTTCATAGATCGAAGAAACAAAGTACATATCCATGCTCGTGAGGTCCGTGGGAGTCCAACCATACCCATTTCAGGTAAGGTTACCTTCGTTTCCACGTCGAACTCGAGATACCCGATTTTTGGCACTGTTCATGCACACGTAATTTCTTATGTTTTTGGGAATTTCAAGCTTGTAGGAAGCTTGGTGAGGTCCCTAGGAGGCTCGGGGTAGTTCGTTGGAAGGTTTTGGAAGTCGGGATAGTGAGTTTCGAGGTTGGCCGGAATTGGTGGAGTTTTCCAGGTGAGATCCCGTGGATTTTAGCACTTGAAAGTGGTATGATTTTGTTCCTCTCATCGTAAGCTTCAATTTGGTACCAATTTTGTGAAATTTGGTTGAAAAACGAAGAAGATAGGACGATTTAAAGTTTTCCCGATTTTCTGGCGCCAGCGACGGCGCCGGAGCCTCGCCAGAGAAGATGACGGAATATTCCGTCAAAATTGACGGAATATTCCTAACGCCGTTGACTGAAACCGTTAAAGATAATGGAATATTCCTGACGGCGTTAACTGACGCTGTCAGCATGCCAGGCACGTGTGGCCGTGCCTTGGCCGACGCGTGGGGGCACGTGCGGCGGTGGAAAATTTTTCTAAAAATATGGGGATGTTCCTGAGGTTGAGTAGATCACGTTGGTGTATTCATACACCCCATTTGAGCATTGTATGAGAAGTTATTTCATAAAGTTGGTTATGTGCTTTAAAATTAACGTTTTTATAGTTGTTTCGCATATAGGCGAGACCTATCCCGAGGACGAGCGTGATCACTCGAGGCAAGGGGGTTACGACCCTTCTACTTACTAGTGAGTGGGCTTTTGGTTTTCCATAAATACCTATATACTTATACTTTTCCCAGAAATTGGTTTGAAACATTTATTCGTTTATATGCCATGCTTTATATTGCAATTGTTTATACATTATTAGTGCATATGTATATAGATGTATGTGGGTGCTGTGGACGCACAGGTAAGTGCCAGGTGAGTATGACTTATGTTATGTTTAGTAGTGTTTTGAGATGCTTAGAGAGCTCATAACCTGCACCCCGGTGTTAGTGCTCCAGCCCATAGTCGGGCACAGTCCTTCACGTGATGTTCACCTCCCACACCACACGCTCATCTTGGATCCAAGTTAGGTGCACAGGCTTGTCGTACATACCACTTTAGGTGGTTCCGACTCGTAGGTGACCCGCGATTATTCGCCCAGCCTTCACGTGATCGTAGCACTTGAGCGTATTTATATATTACACCCAGGCCTGTCGTACAGACCACTTTAGGTGGTTCCGACTCGTGTGCAGGTCTAGCTAGTGAGATAGAGATTTGAGCTCTAGATTCAGCCGTACAGGTCACGTTAGGTGACTCCGACTGACAAATTATATGATATTGATATGACATTACCTGGGCACTTGCATTTTACATTGAGGTTTTGGCATAGCATATTCCTGAGCATGATATATATATGTATATATATTCTATTTTCTGGGGAGTATACAGGTTTTACGGCGAAGGGTTAGAACTTATTTATTAATTTGGTTTTCGAAAAGCTTTGTTTTTGCCCACTCACACTTTTGTTTTGCGCCCCTCCAGGTTCTAGTTGGCTAGCACGTTTGGTGGCTTCCCTGAGGATTTTCCCGGCATATCTGACAGACTACCACCAGTGTAGGACCACCTTCGGGTGTGCTTTTGTTGTATCGTTTCCTTCTAGATTGTATTAGGCTTTCATGCTCTGAACTTAGGGTTCACACTTACTCTTGCACTTGTTCGTTATTACCTTGTGTAAACTAGTTTTCATTTATTCATACTACTTTTATTATTATTTTATTAGCTTCCGCACTGTGCACATGGTTACGTCACTTCTACGTGACGGCCAACATGCCCTGATCTCGATCGGGGTGTGTCAAAAGGACACGCCAATCGATTAGATTAACAATTCTATACGCAGAGGATTCTGGATCAATTAAGGATAATCTAACAACCTCTCATTCTTTTCGTAGTTTGGTATGTAAAGTCTTAGTAGGAATATGATAATTTGTTGGATAATTTAACTAATGCTTTTCGTAGTTTACCCTTCAATGAGAACCACGTAAGTCAATTAGAATTTTTCATTGACAGTATTCAATAATTTGTTGGATATTAAAAAAATAAAAAAATAAAAAAGGAAAGGGACACACCAATCGATTAGATTTTTTTCATTGGCTATATTCAATGATTTATTGGATATAAAAAATAAAAAAAATAAAAAAGAGGAAAGGACCACACCAATACTGTAATACGTCTTAGAGAGTAGTGGTATGAATATTGATCTGATCCAGATCTTAGCTTCTGCGAAAGGGAAGAAAAGAAGTTGAGATGAATAGATGAAAATTTCAATGTGTTCGGAATACGGAGTGGTACACCATGTATTTTTATACAAGTGGTGAGATTCTTGTGTTAAAAAAATTAATAACATAAAAAATAAAATTTCTCACCACTTACATAATAACACATAATGTACCATCTATATAACTCACTTTGACTTTCTAGTCCAATTGGTTGGTAAATACACGTGAAAATACTCATTATGAAAACGTCACCTGGACAAGTTGTAAACCTGATGATGAGACCCGAATCCCACTTAAATGTGTATTATGTTCTATAGAGTCTCCTAAGATTTTTTTTTTTTTTTTTAAATGATAATAGACTAGTAGTACTCTTTTAGGATAACTAGAAGGTGTGACAAAAATTAGACGTTTGGCAAAAGCTTCTTGTTATAAACTTTGAAAAGGGAGTTATTTTTACCTACTTTTTTTTTTAATTTATGACCAATGGTGTGTAAGTGGAGAAAAATGTGTTATTTATTATTTTTCATCTCAAAAGTATATTTAAAAAAAAATAAAAAAATAAAAAAACTGAATTGCTTATGAGACTATCTATAAAGTGAAAAGCATTAGCCAGAGTCAGTTTCACGTGCCAAAGAAAAGTTGACCCACATTTTCTATAAATAGCACAGGATTGAAGTTGGCTTTCACCACACGAGTAAGACCTCGAAGCTGAGCACTTTCCGAGTTTTCGGTAAAGACCAAAGAGAGAAGATGAGTCCATTAGAACGAGCAACCAAAAAAGGGCATGCGGTTTTTGTCCCATACCCAGCACAAGGCCATGTTAACCCCATGATGCAATTGGCCAAGTTTATTCACTCAAGGGACTTCCACATAACCTTTGTCAACACCGAGTTCAACCACAACCGTTTAATCCGATCAAAAGGTCCCGACTCCGTTAAGGGTCTACCGGACTTTGTGTTCGAGACCATACCAGACGGGTTGCCTCCTTCGGATAAGGATGGAACCCAAGATGTTCCAACTTTATGTGACTCCATTAAGAAAACTTGTCTTGGTCCGTTTAAAGAGCTGGTGACTAAGATCAATTCCTCATCTCAAGTGCCACAAGTTACTTGCATAGTTGCAGATGGTACCATGACCTTTGGGAGCAAAGTTGCTAGAGAATTAGGCATTCCGGAGGTTACGTTATGGACGGCTTCTGCTTGTGGCTTCATGGGGTACTTGCAATACAGCGAACTTGTCAAACGTGGCATTATTCCGTTCAAAGGTACTTCTTTAATTTCCATTTTTTTTTTTACACTTTTGTCGTTAATCAGTTTATTTATGTATATGAACATTTTTGTATACATAAATTATCATGACACACTTGAGTTAAATCATCCACATCCTTCCCTTCCAAGTGCATATTCCTTTGTTTATCCAGGAAGATGATTCTTTAGTCTTTCCAGTGTTCCCTCGTACCTTCTCTGCACTCCAGCGCTCTTATCTTCTCTGCAATCCAGCATGTCCAAAGGATAAGATAACCCAGACTTGACACTTTGTTCTTTCCTGTGTACCTTTTATATTCTTGTGTTCATTTTGATTTATTATTAATCATGGAGCTTATAGATTCTGGTCCTGTTTTCTAGTGTGTGATTGGGTCTAGTCCAGCATCACATCACACTACTAATAGAAGCGGACCAGTCTAATAAACAGGTTGCCAAATATAGTACATCAATGCGTTAATTTTATTCAGAAATCTTTTCTGCCACGTTATTGGGGAAGATTAATCAATTTGTAGTGATCACTTGGTTTGATAAAATCAATCTTAACTTTGTAAGAGGCAGTCCTGACCGAGTTGAAATGATTGTCGGATTAATTATGGGATTTTGCACATAAAACTATGAGATCTCTTTTTTTTTTTTTTTTTTTTTTTTTATCAACTAACCGTCAACATAATTATCTATCATCACACATGCTTCACCTTCCATGCATTTCAGATGAGAATTTCATGCATGATGGCACACTCGATACACCAACTGATTGGATCCCAGGTATGAAAAATGTTCGGCTCAAGGACATCCCAAGTTTCATTAGAGTTACTGATCTCAACGACATAATGTTTAATTACTTGGGATCCGAAGCACTTAACTGTTTGAACTCTTCTGCAATCATCTTCAACACATTTGACGAATTCGAACGCGAAGTGTTAGATGTAATATCGACAATGTTCCCCAACATATACACCATCGGCCCCCTTAATTTGATTGGCAGGCATTTCCCCGAAATCAAGTCACTTAACTCAAACTTATGGAAAGAAGACACAAAATGTTTGGAATGGCTTGATAAAAAGAAACCCAATTCAGTTGTGTACGTCAATTATGGCAGCGTAACGATGATGACAGGCCAACATTTGATTGAGTTTGCATGGGGGCTGGCAAATAGCAAGCACCCATTTTTATGGATAGTTAGGGCTGACGTGGTAAAGGGCGACTCACCAACGTTGCCTGAGGAATTTTTGGAGGAGATTAAGGATAGGGGTTATATTACAGGTTGGTGTGCACAGGACCAAGTGTTGGCTCATCCATCTGTTGGGGCTTTCCTAACACACAGTGGTTGGAATTCTACCATTGAAACTATATCTCATGGTGTGCCAGTAATTTGCTGGCCTTTCTTTGCGGAGCAACAAACGAATTGTCGGTACTCATGCACAACGTGGGAGATTGGAATGGAGGTGAGCCCTGATGTGAAGCGCCATGAAATTGAAGTACTTGTTACGGAAATGCTGGAAGGAGAAGGAGGGATGAAGATGAGGGAAAAGGCAAAGGAATGGAAGAAAAAAGCTGTTGAAGCTACTGATGTTGGAGGATCATCGTACAATAATTTTGAGAGATTGCTTAAGGAGGCACTCCAACTTGGTGAATGACTTACTATGGGTCAGGAACACGTTTGGTCCCTTTTCCTGAACTATCATATATGCTTTTATTTACCAGGGATTTATCTTATTTTCATTTAGTATTGTCTTTTAATGTTTATATTTGGTAATTTGGGTCTCAGTTTCTCTAGTTTTTATAGCCCTTCACTATAAATAAACAACTTCACGTGTCGAAGTTCATCCTTGTCTTCTGTTATGTCTCTAATTTTATATCTTCTTGCTTCCCTCTATTTCTCTCGTCTATCAGTATGTGATGCACTCAGAAACCTCAAATGCATTGGCTTGGTTCCATTCAAATTTATTCATTTTCTTGGACAATTTTGTCCTTTGCGTGTGTGTTGACACCGGAATTTCATAAGCATGAATCGCAAGTTCAAGCATGCAACCAAAAATTCAAGTTGATCTACAAGGCGATAAATGGACCCAAGGCAATACCTCTTATTGGTGTATAATTGTAATCATTATGTTTAGAAAGACACATATCCATATAATTGAGGTATATGTAGAGCTCAAGTGAGTGACTCATCCAAATGTGTTGTGTGTTGTGTGTTGTGCGCTACTCAATATGTCTTGTGAGGCGCACTAGACGAAGACAACAACAAACAGCACAAAGAAACATCCTAAGTGAGCAAGTGGCCTGTAGAGGAGGGATTTCTCAGTTTCAACTGTTGTCAACTTAAGTGGAGTTTTATTTTTATATTTCGTAGTTAATTTCAATGTTTTTCTTGTCGGGACTCATACAAATGTAGTGTGAAGAGGGGGTGGGGATAAAAGATAAAAAAGTTTGATTCTTAGCACACACTCTATTTTAGCCAAAGATCACTTTTTTTGTACTCGGATGTCTTTGGTGATCTTTAAGTATTTTCAAAGATGATAGATTATTCTAACCAAGAACACCACTCTTGAGAATAATAAATTTAAAGTAACAAACGAAATTCAATCACTTAACAATAGTATAATCCTTCTTGATTATCATCTTGAATCACATATGATTAATTATACTTTACTTTAAATGGCATAAGTATTGGAATGTTACCTTTGGAAGTCTTCCACTCTCATTACATTAAATGGCTCTCTTGCAGTTTTATTATATCAAGCCAATTACCTTATGCCCGAAGCCCAATTTTCTCGACATTGTGAAAGCGGAACCCTAGCGCTCGTATAGAAAAACCTACCTCATAATCTGGCTACAACTCCTCACACAATCTCTCTCCCTCCCTTTAACCTATGACAATGGTGGAGATAATAGTAGAAAACAATGAGAGTGGAAGACTTCCAAAGGTAAGATTCCAGTACTCATGCCATTTCATGTAAGTACAATTGATCAAATATGATTCAAGATGATAATCAAGAAGGATTATACTGTCATTAATTGATTGAATTTCGTTTGTTACTTGATTTTGTTGCTTTAGGTAACCGTTTATTCGACATGTAAGAGAAGAAAATTAAGGTCATTAACTTTTTTTTTTTTTGGTTACCTTTTTATTTGGGAAACTGTGGGTTTTTTTTTTCAACTGATTTTATGATTTTTTTTTTTTTTTTTTGGCTTTTGTTCTGAGTGGACTTGCTAGCATTATGACCTGGTATATATTATTGGACATCCTAGGGTACTTGTGACTTCCTAAAAGAACAAATGGCAGCAAGAAAGAAAGCATTTTCAACAGTTCAAGAGTTCTTTGAGATGCACGGTGCCACATCCCTTGAAACTCCACCTTTGGAACTGAGAGAAACCCTCACGGCAAAATATGGGAAAGATTGGGTATAGATTTATGATCCTTTTGAAGAGGTATTTCTCAGTTTCAACCGTTGTCAACTCAAGTGGAGTTTTGTTTTTATTTTTTGTAGTAAATTTCAATGTTTTTCAGTTTGTGACTCATACAAATGCAGTGTGAAAAGATGGTGGGGATAAAAGCTTAACTTAGTTTGATTATTAGTACAAACTTTATTTTAACCAAAGATCACTCTTTTTGTACTTAAATATCTTTGATAATCTTTTAGTATTTCCAAAGATGATAGATTATTGTAACCAAGAACAACATTCCTGAGAATAATAAATTTCAAGTAACAAACAAAATTCAACCAGCTAACAACAGTATAATCCTCCTCGATTATGATCTTGAATCACATCCGATCAATTAGACTTTACATTAAATGACATGAACACTGGAATCTTAGCTTTGGAAGTCTTCCACTCTCGTTACATTAAATGGCTCTCTTGCAGTTTCATTATATCAGGCCAATTACTGTGTGCCTTGAGCCCAATTTTCTCGACGTTAGTGGAACCATTACACTCATATAGAAAAACCTTACCTCAAAACCCAGCTACAACCCTTCACGCAGTCTCTCTCTAAGCTCCAAAAATGGCGGATATAGCAATAGAAGCAATGAGAGTAGAAGACTTCCAAAGGTAAGATTCTGGTACTCATACTGTAATGCATAATTGATCAGATATGATTCAAGATGATAATCAAGAAGGATTGTTGTTAATTGATTGAATTTTGTTGTTACTTGATTTTGTGGCTTTAGGTAACCATTTATTTGACATGTAGAAGAAAATGAATATCATTTTTTTAACCTTTTTATTTGGGAAACTGTGTTACTTTGTTATTGTCTTTGAGAGGAAGGGAGTTTTTTATTTTTTATTTTTTTAAGATAATTTAACTTTGTCCTTTGTAGTTCAATACAGAAAGATGTTTGAATCTATAAAAGTAATCATTTGGAAAGAATTGAAAACTTATTATAATTGTTAATGTATATATCCACGAAACCATACTATGGTTGCTGTCTCTGTTGCCTTTGCAGAATATGATCTTTTGTTTCAACCGATTTTATGATTTTTTCTCTTTTTGGGTTTGTGATGAGTAGACTTACTAGCATTCTGACCTTGTTTATATTATTAGAAATCCTAGGGTACTTGTGACTAGCAATAAAAATGAAAACATTTTCAACACTCCAAGAGGTCTTTGAGATGCATGGTGCCACAACCCTTGAAACTCCACTATTGGATTTGAGAGAAACCCTCATGGGAAAATATGTGGAAAATTGGGAATCGATTTATGATCTTCCTGAAAAGGTATTTCTCAGTTTCAATTGTTGTCAACTTAAGTGGATTTTTGTTTTTATAATTTCGATGTTTTTCTTGTGGTGACTAATACAAATGCAGTTTGAAGAGGGGGTGGGGATAAAAGCCTAACTCGATTTGATTTTTAGCACACATTCTATTTTAGCCAAAGATCACTCTTTTTGTACTTGGATGTCTTCAGTTATCTTTTAGTATTTCGAAAGATGATAGATTATTTTAACCAAGAACAACATTTCTGAGAATAATAAACAAATTTCAAGTAACAAACGAAATTCAATCAATTACAACAGTATAATCCTTCTTGAGTATCATCTTGAATCACATCTAATCAATTATACTTTACATAAATGGCACTACAATCTTACCTTTGGAAGTCTTCCACTCTCATTACCAGCTCTTTTGCAGTTTTAGTATATTAGGCCAATTACCTTGTGCCCTAAGCCCTATTTTCTCGACAATGTGAAAGCGGAACCCTAGCACACATAAAGAAAATCCCTACCTCAGAACCTGGCTATTACCCCTCACATAGTCTTTCTCTCTCTCCCCCTCTGAGCTTCGACAATGGCGGAGATAACAGTAGAAAGCAATGAGAGTGGAAGACTTCCAATGACAAGATCTAATGCTCATGCCATTTAATGTAAAGTATAATGATCACGTTTGATTCAAGATAATAATCAAGAAGAATTATACTATTGTTAACTGATTGAATTTTGTTTGTTACTTGATTTTGTGGAAATTTTCCAGCTTTCTTTTATTTATTTATTTTTTTTTTACCTCTTTATTTGGGGAACTATGTTTGTGTTATTTAATGTAAAGTATAATTGATCAGATGTGATTCAAGATGATAATCAAGAAGGATTATACTGTTGTTAACTAATTGAATTTTGTTTATTAGTTGAAATTTATTATTCTCAGAAATGTTGTTCTTGGTTGGAATAATGTACCATCTTTGGAAATACTACAGATCATCAAAGACCTCCAAGTATAAAAAAAGAGTAATCTTTGGCTAAAATAGAGCGTGTGCTAAGAATCAAATTGAGTTAAGCCTTTAACCCATGCCTCTCTTCACACTACATTTGTATGAGTCACAACAAGAAAAACATTGAAATTAACTACTAGAAATAAAAACAAAACTTCCCTCAAGTTGACAACAGTTGAAACTGAGAAATACCTCTTCGGGAAGATCATCAATCGATTCCCAATCTTTCCCATATTTTGCCGTAAAGGTTTCTCTCAATTCCAAAAGTGGAGTTTCAAGGGTTATGGCACCATGCGTCTCAAAAACCTCTTGGACTATTGAAAATGCTTTCTTTCTTGTTGCCATTTGTTCTTTCGGAAGTCACAAGTACCCTAGGATTTCCAATAATATATACAAGGTCAAATGCTAGTAAGTTCAATCAATACAAACCCAAAAAAGAAAAGAAAAAACATAAAATCAATTGAAACAAAAGACCATAATCTGCAAAGTCCACTAAGACAACAACCTGAGTATGGTTTCTTGAAAATATACATTGATACAATTATAATAAGTTTTCAATTCTTTCCGAATGGTTGCTAGTACAGATTCAAACATCCATCCATATCGAACTACAAAGTACAAATTTAAATTATCTTTAAAAATAAAAATAATAATAAAAAATAAAAATAAAAAAAACTCTATTCCTCTCAAAGACAATAACAAAGCAACACAAACACAGTTTCCTAAATAAAAGGCAAAAAAAAATGAAAAAAAAGAAAAGAATGATATTAATTTTCTTCTCCTACATAAATGGTTACCTAAAGCCATAAAATCAAGTAACAAAAGAAATTCAATCAGTTAACAACTGTATAATCCTTCTTGATTATCATCTTGAATCATATCTGATTAATTATACTTTACATTAAATGGCATGAGTACTGAATTGTTACCTTTGGGGATTAAAGAGCCAATTCCCTAGGGGATTAAACCCACGGTGAATTGCTCTAGTGGAATGCCTTCTCAAGTTAATCAATAAAATTATATAAAAAAAAAATAAAAATAAAAAAAAAACCATTTATGTTGTAAACATTGGTGGCTGACCACTAAATGATGTAATGAATGACTATATCAACCGCTTTAGAACACTGTAGCTTAGCTGGCAGCAAGGCAGCAAGCACTATCATCTGTGCCTATAAAAAGAAATGTTGAGGATGAGAGCAAACAGATAGAAGCCACAAGGCTCACAGAAGAGTAAGAGAGAAAAGAGAGGGAGAAGAGAGAAGATAATAAAGAGAGTTATTTTGTACTCTTATTATTCTAAATTATAATGAAAGCACCACTGCTGCTCCGAGGACGTACTCCAGTCATACTGACTGTAGAGTAACCTCGTAAATTTTGTGTCTTGTTTTATTTATTCCACTGCACACACCGTCAGTTTTACAACACTTCAATACTTTTTGCTTACCTATGCTTGCGAAAAATATTCAAAGAGTGTGTTCCGACAAATCCCTTGTCAGCTATGTTTCACTTTCTTAGTGCAAAGTTTAATAAATGGATCATGGCCATTAGATTATTAGCAAAAAAGTGACCTTGTCAGCTATGTTCCACTTTCTTAGTGCAAAGTTTAATAAATGGATCATGGCCGTTAGATTATTAGCAAAAAAGTCAATGACTAACAAGCCAAAAATCTAATAACTATTTCAACGATTATGGATTTGAGGCTCAAACTACGAATAAGATTCATCGTTGTTGGATTCTTCGTTAACAATTCAATGACTAATACGCCAAGAATTCAACGACTAATACGCCAAGAATCCAACGAATATTCCACCGATCATGTTCATGGTATGAGCCAGTCCGTACTTGACAAACTCTCAAATAGAGCGAGCGGCTAAGGAAAGATGTGTCAATGACGACTTCCGTAAACAAAATGCCACAGCTACGGTATCCTACGTCAACCAAATTTAGACTTCCAACAGATGTTGATTCATAGTTATATCCATCTGGATTGACGGCTAATATGCTATCACGCTTGTATTGCGTTATACTAGAGTGCCCACAAAACTACGAGAAATCAACTGAACAGCAATACAAGTGTAGAAAAAAAACCCACCATTTCTTGTGCCACTCTGCCTGCAAAGTGATCCACGGTTCAGTTCCTCTCCTTCCCAAGACAAGCACGCTTGTCCTCCGGCGCAGCGAAAGAAACACAGTTTGCTTACACCACACATCATATCACAACTTTTTGTAACACAAGTAAGGGGGAGGTGAAATCTAAATAAGATACATCACACTTTTCCTATTCCACAAGTAGTGACAATTGCTAGCTTTTCCATTCCAATCAATCCCTGTTTCGAAGAAAATTCTGATGTTAACAGCACTAGAGCTACACTGGAAAAATTATGAACACTAGCCCACACAGAGCTCTGTCTGTGATGATAGCCAGAGTGATTAACGTTCATTGCTTTTCTCCTTACTTGGGGGTGGATGTGAGGTTATAACAGAATTGGATATTAATGCATCAAGCACAACTCACTTTGGTTTGTCTGTCAGGGTTACCAAGGACTTCAGCACACCCGGACAGATCTTGTCAGCAAGGGCACCTTTGTCCGAAATCACAAGGGATTTTTCCTTCACAATGCCTTGCAACCTTCTAGAGTCTAAATCAAGTTGCTCTTGTTCTGCATCCCAAAGGTAATAGCAAAAAGTTCAGAATCTTTTTTTTCTTTCTGAAAAGTAAATAATGAAGCTACAAAGCATTCGACTTATACAATTATTTAAATCTATAAAAACATATATTTTTTATGAGAAGGCACAGATCACAACTCATGAATTCTGAGAGTTCATGAGCCATACTTCCCAACTTTCGCAGCAATAAGAGACAGGACAGCAACGCAGCAAAACACGAACATCTAAGAAGCGTCTAGAAACTCGAATGAATTCCTCTAAGAAGCGTCAATGGTTAAGTTTGAGAAATTATGATTGACAAGCAAGAACACTATCCAGTCTGACACATTAAAAGTTTGAAACTTTTCAGTAGGAGAAACTGAGTTAACAACAAAAACTTAATGCTGAACAAATCCCTCTGATCTTATTTCAAATTTGCCCATCTAATCTGAAGCATAGCTTCCTTTTGTAAGATAAATAGAAGTTGATTCAGGGAAGATGGCATCTTCACGAACATCTATAGGCCTTTTAAACAAAACACTAGAGCTTCAAAGGTTTAAGAATTCATAAATAGCTCAACCAATTTGTTTAAAGATGCTACATAGTTTATTTAACCCGTTTTGCTCACAAGGGCTACTACAGTGGACACTCGAGTTTATTCATTAATCCTTCGTGACACATGGTTATATGAATATATTGGTATGTGAAAGAGTTGCACTTCTTAATAATACAGTTGGGTATATGTCCCAATTAGTTGCATAAAAAGAAAAATAAAAAGCAGCTTGAGAGAAAACCTGTCTCCAAGATCGTATGGGCAGCATGAAATGGAATCCTTGCAAAGACATCAGTTCCCGGGAACATCATCCAAGTGCGCTCATTTGAATCATGGTTGCCACAGGTAGGGCATACCTCCTTCACCAGAGGTCTTGATTGAGGCCCCCCAATTCCCTTCATTATTGACTCAAAAGGAGATGGAACACTAGTTTTGGTTGTCCGAGCTATCTTCCTCAGAGATGTAAGTGCTTCTCTGTTCCCATTCCTCACCCTGTCATTTTCAACCATCTGCGTTTCCATCATAACAAACACCAAATCTCCATTGTGTTACTAACACGACACAATAGAATACTAACTTTAACAAAACTGAATTAGTTCACATAATAAAGCCACTCAACTGCACTGGGATTGTTGACCAAAAAAAAAAAAAAAAAAAACACTACTGGGAATGACGGTTTAACAAAACCCAACATAAATATATCAGTTAGAAAGTGACCAACTGACCAAGGGAATTTTGAAAAATTAAGCTGGGTAACAAGGGTTTTTTTTAATGTCGACAAGTAACTAAATTGTAATAGATTAATTTTTCCAGACAGTTTCATAGGGGCTGCAATATCTAAAATAATAATCTTATGGTTCCAATCATTTAATCAAACCATTTGTTATTGAAACTTTCCAATCCTTTTATCTAATCATTCATTATTGAAACTTATGAAATGTACTGTTGACGTCGTGCTTGAATTCAAACTTTCCAACTTCACAGCTACTTCTCAAAATTTATCTTTGTTAACGGTAAAACATACAAGTCTGTAAAGAAGAAGCTAGAGGTATAAATTACCTGGTTTCTAGCTAGGAGGAGATGCTCAGCTTCAGTCTCGAGTTCAATTAAGCTTTTCTGGAATTGCTTCATGGTCTCATCCATTCTTTACTTGTCAATAAGCATCCACCTAATTGTATTCTGAAACTTAAGCAATTATATGGCTATGCTTAGTCTCTAAATGAAAACTTTGTCAGGGAATAGAAACCAGAACAGTAGTCCAAAAAGAATTATGCCTCCGCTTTAAAGCCCGGTCATCCCAAGAACAAACACGGACGAGCAAATGTGATAATACACAAAGAAAATAATATAAAAATAAATAAAAAAATCCAACGAGCGAAGGAGAAAGAAATATAAGAATGTCATCAACTTCCCAAGTAATATAGAGATCGTCCATCAAGATTTTCTTGCTTAGACAGAACCATTGTTCTGAAAGCATAAAAGTTGTAGGAAAAGAAGAAGAAATAAATAATAGGGAGGATCAAGCTTTGTTTTCTACTCTAATTGGCAGGCATGAAATAATCATCTTACCTATAAGCATCAAACAATAATCTATATTAGCCTAACTAGTCCAACATTTCCACTCAATTTTAGCAGTTCCGACTGTGAACAATATTAGAAAGGATCACAGAAACCACATAAATCACAATCTCTATCAAACACATAAATCACAACCACATAAACACATAAATCAGGAAGTGCACAATATTAGAAAGGATCACAGAACATTGCGAGGTAATCTGGACTCTGACCAAATCACATAAATTTGATACGAAAAATGTCTCTGCTTATAATCGTCTTTGAGACCAAAGCAGCAGTTCCCGAGAGAATGCGTCCAATTGAACCTGATACATGTTAAGAAAGTGTCCAATTAAACCTGACTACTTATTAGTTGGAGACAGTAATCCAAATCCCCCTTTACCCCAATGCCCCATTGCCTAGTACTACTTAACCCTCCCAAAACTCATCACTCACGGCCACCGATCCATAGTTCCATACCTTGAGATGATGGTGGTCGGAGTCGGAGTCGGGAGTTGAAACTTGAGAGGAGATGATGGTTGTGCCTGGTGGTCGGAGAAGCGGAGTTCAGGGAGTCTGAGAGATGGACGAGAGGCATCAGCCAGTCAGGACGACGAAGGATGAACGGTGGACGGAGGTGGGTCTGAGAAAGGAGAGGACCAGTCAGGGAGAGGGAGAGTCGAGTGTGCACGAGAAGCCTCTGAACTGGGAAGTTGAATTATCATGATCTCCCCTAAGTCGCCTGCCTTATTCAATCCAATCCATTCATATGGAGAAACCAACAATGATGAAACATTAGTAATTTTAAAATTGCCTTCTCCCAATTTTCAAATAAAATAAAAAAAATTCACAAAAAAAAAAAAAAAACCCTGCTTAGATATATTATTATTTTGCTTTTTTGTTTTTTTGTTTTTTCAAATAAAAAAATAAAAAGAGTCAATTACCACAGTTGTACGCGTATAACAAAAGACAAGTTTTAAACCCGCCCCATCCCGTCTTGTTTCTTCTCTAGTAATTTTCTAATCTAATCTAAACCGTGGAGTAAGTAGAGTGCCGGAGCCATGCGGTGGCTGGAATCGGTGGAAGTGGATTCATCTTGAATCTCCATTGGTATTGGGTGAACATATATGCATTTTAGGTTCTTAATATTGTGAGATTCATCTTGCCTCAGTAACTATTCCTTGAGAAGATACGCAACTTCGGAGGATAATTTCTTATTAATTTGTTACTTCATTATTAATGACGTCGATGTAACATCCCACATCGCCCAGGGGACTGATCCTTAAATGTATATTCCCATCCTACCTAGCACGAGGCCTTTTGGGAGCTCACTGGCTTCGGGTTCCGTAGGAACTCTGAAGTTAAGCGAGAAGAGGGCTAGAGCACTCCCAGGATGGGTGACCCTCTGGGAAGTTGCTCGTGAGTTCCCAAAAACAAAACCGTGAGGGAATGGTAAGCCCAAAGCGGACAATATCGTGCTACGGTAGTGAAGCGGGCCCGGGAAGTCGTCCCACCCGGGCCGGGATGTGACATTGGTATCAGAGCCTATCCCTGGCCGGAAATGTGCCGACGAGGACGTCGGGCCCCTAAGGGGGGTGGATTGTAACATCCCACATCGCCCAGGGGACTGATCCTTAAATGTATATTCCCATCCTACCTAGCACGAGGCCTTTTGGGAGCTCACTGGCTTCGGGTTCCGTAGGAACTCTGAAGTTAAGCGAGAAGAGGGCTAGAGCACTCCCAGGATGGGTGACCCTCTGGGAAGTTGCTCGTGAGTTCCCAAAAACAAAACCGTGAGGGAATGGTAAGCCCAAAGCGGACAATATCGTGCTACGGTAGTGAAGCGGGCCCGGGAAGTCGTCCCACCCGGGCCGGGATGTGACATCGATGCAGGTGGCCATCTTGAATGGCATTACAATGTGTTCAATGGCATTCTTCTTCTCTGGTGGTGAGGGTGATGGTGGTTGTACCATCACCTTACCAAAAGGTTAATTACGCTATCTGGAGCAGCGTAATTAAACGTGTAAGAATACCATATTGGTATTTGTACATAAAAGTCACTCGATGTACATAAACACAACCTTAGGGTTTTGATTAGATAGTAATCATTGTAAATACCATACTGGTTCACAATGTGTTTCTTATACGCAAAACAAATACCAACTAAGACAATCTTTTAAACGTGTAAGAACAGAAACCAATACCAAGACATGAACAAATTAACTACGGCTAAGACCTGAACCCGCAATTTTGAAATTGAGTTGAACTCAAACAACCGCCGCAGCTTTCTCTACAATCCCTTCTCGTACTTTTTTAGAGCCACGAACAACATTTCCCTTTTCTGCATCCCCTGCTTCCTTGTATGCAGCTGTATGAATACCAAGTGCAGCACGGCCGGATGGATCAGGATTTTTTGACCATTCTGCATCCCATTCCACAGCTTTTGCTGTACTGCACGCCACACTTGGACCACCCGGAACCGTTGATCTGGCAGCATTCTGTTCAGAAATGGCAAATAGTCAATTCAATCAACCATTATCCATTTTTCATCAAGGTGCACGATTAAAGATGAGAGCAAAGAAATGGCATGCCCCTCCTACTCTCATTAGATACTATTGGCATGCTTGGTACTAGAATATAGCGTGCAGAGAAATCTTTCACCAACTCCATCATGATAAGCAAAAAAACGAAAAAACAAAAATGAAGCAAGACATAATGATAAAGCGAGTGAATAAATCTCTTTCATGTAGCCAAGCCTCCTTGGCTATTCTTAGAATTTGTATCTCACCTTTGGAAAGAATTTCTCAAATATTGTCCGGTAATAGTATGCTTCTTTTGTCGTAGGAGTGTTTTCAGGGTAAACGAAGCTAGCATTGCTCAGCATTGAATCTGTTACCTGTCCAGTTACAAGAAACAAAAGACGATTAATTAATTATAAGGAAAACTAATGAAAAGGGCTTGAAAACTTTGAGTTTTAATGATAAGGACAAAATAAAGGGTAAAGTGAATAGTACCAGGATTGATTTTTAGTGTAAAGATGTGGTTTTTCGTTAAAGTGAACAGTACCGTGGGCTTTTTGTTAAAACTCCCTTAATTATATGCAGATAAAGAAGAAGCATCTATAATGTTTTCTAACTCTGGTTTGGAACAAAGTACAGACAGAACTCTAAATTGAAATGCAATGACATGTTCTGTCATTAAACTCTCAATTTGGAGCACAAATTCAGAAAGGACATGCCTAATCAACAGTCCAAATTAATAACCTGGCAAGTGGCAGAATACACAGACAACGGATTTCCGTTCAAAAAGATAACTCTAACTTAAGGTAATGCTTACTTGACAGTTTGCATGATCTTTCAAGCCGTCAATCCAACTGTAGCCAACGCCATCACTGAACTGTTCCTTCTGCCGGTACAATATGTGCTATAACAAAAAACACAAGGTACAAACAAGTTAGCTATATATTGCACAAATAGGGCACCACCACACTGCGGAGTGTGTGTGGCTGGTCAACCAACCATGCACTGCTGAGAGCCCGCCTCTCACCATCCATACTTGAAAATTGTGTGTATGTATATTACATATTGAACATTTTGTATCATGCAGAACACGATTACTGACACAAGCCAAAAGTTACAGACCTTTGGCAAATATGGCTCTTGATCATCGTCAAATGCATTGCGTAAGACCCACTTCTCAATTCTCCCAGGCCTGATCTGCAATTAAATGTGCAAATATTTAGATGTAGGAAGCCAATGATAACTTTTAGTTTGATTTTGTACGGGGAAGGAAAAAATAATAATCAATATAATCCCAAAAATTTCGAAAGCACAACTATAGGAACATAAATCTAAAAGAGTGACCAGAGACCACCAAAACTCTCTGTTACATACAATGAAACAAACCAATATGACAGGTCTCGCGCCAAGGAATGAATAAAATGGGTGTAAAATTAAAGAATAAAATGAGACCGAGGCATTCTTTAACTTTGTTTTATGGATGGAAGCCGCTATGCCAAATAATAGTAGTAGACTTGGTATATGATACACGAGCTGCTACATAAAAACTTGGAAATACAGGGAAACACCAGCGATATATGTGCTATACCATTTTCCATTCTGGATCAATGTTCATGGCAATATTGATGAAATCTTTATCTAAAAAGGGCACACGGGCCTCAACACCCCAAGCTGAAGTTGATTTATTGGCCCTCAGACAGTCATACAGATGAAGAGCTTTAATCTGTCCAGTAGTTACAACAGTTCAAGAAGGGGAAAAAATGTCAAAATGGCCATCAAATAAGTAGGAAATTTTCTTTCACAAATGTTGAAAGTACATAACCATTTGCCTCAAATGAAACAGAAAAGAAACAACTAGGGGAAGAGATGGTTTCGTGGGGTACCTTCTGACATGTTTCTTGGTGAAACTCCTCCTTGTTTGGTGCCTTATGGAAATACAAGTAACCTCCAAAAATTTCATCTGAACCTTCCCCAGAAAGAACCATCTTTACTCCCAAAGATTTAATTTTTCGAGACATAAGAAACATGGGAGTGCTAGCTCTGATAGTCGTTACATCATATGTTTCAGTATGGTAAATAACTTCCTCAAGTGCATCTATGCCTTCCTGAAACATCAAAGTAAAAAGATGAATTATTTGTGTGAATCTTAGGAATGTAGATCCGTGTTTTTGTCCTCAGATTACGGATGCAGGACAAAGTTTCTTCAAGAAACAATTAATGTAGAAAATAGAAAAAAGTATAGAAATGAATACAAGAAAAGAAAGACAAAGACAGAAAATTTTATGGAGAAACAAAATCGGTATAAACACAATTTTGTATTTTTAATCAATATACCAATACTGTGAAGGCTATCATAAGCAATTCAAAATCATTAAATACAAAGGATAACAACTTTTTGGAATCGCAAATTCACCTTAAAGTTCAATCCCTAAACAGATCAACTGATTCCTAAATTTCAGACATAAACTTAAGCCTTAGTAGAAATGTTCCTCTAGCATCTTTCATCAATTACCTGGACAGTAAAGTGAAACTCATGATGACGAGTCCCAAGATACTCTGCAACTTCTCTCGCTGCTTTCAAATCTGGTGATTTCTGAAGATTGAAAATGTAGCATTTAAATGTAGAGAAAAACCATCACTAGATAAAGCCTCGTAAAAGATTGATTGCAATAAAGTGTCTAAATCTCTCCGGTGCCAGAATTTACATGTGAAAGACGATTAAGGATCTACAACAAGGACCTTTTATTTCTTTGAACTTGCCACTTTAATGAACCATACAAGTATACAGATATCATAAACGTATTAACAGCTCAACTGCTCATTATAGACATAAATGTGTCAGAGTACAACTATTTATCAGTGAGATTTTGATGTCATTAGGCATAAGAAACAGATGAAGCCCACCCTTTTCTGATTTTTTTTTACTACAAAGAGTAATACATACTTATTTCAAACTGGAAATCAAGTTCTGTACAAGTTTTTAAAAGGATAAAAAACAGATTCGCAGCATGAAGATATAACATTATCTAAACGCACATCTTTTGTACGCAAAGTGAACAGATGTGGTACTCCAATTGACCAAGCCACGCTGTCAAGAGAACTGGGAAAAAAGGGGAAGGGGTGGGGACCTTGAGAGGGCATCACATTTGGCTATCTAAACAAGATAGCACTACACTAAGTAAGCACCAATTTTGGCAATCTTAAAAGATTACCTCCAAGCCAATGCAAAAAGTGTGTAACTGTGATCCCCACT